GACAAATGAAGAAAGGACGGGACGGAGTTGAGGAAGGACGAAGAAAATAGGCATACCTGTGACCAGTTGGGAAATTGTTTTTCTGTTGAACTCGTTTCTCAGCGATACAGATTTATTCGGGATGTAATATTGTTCTTGCACAGGATTCCTAGTTAGCAGCATAAAAAAGGGTATAAAATATATAATACATGATATTACATGATGAATTGGTAAGCAGTGATAAGTGAGTTATGCAAAAAGCCAGTAATATGATCAACTAACAAACTCCTTGTCGTTGCCTTGGACAATAATTTGACTGTCGGTTAGTTGATAGGTCGTTGAGTTGGAAATATATTATGGGAATGTATTTAGCAAATAGTAAGAGTACCGTAGATTGTTGTCCAATGGTGGCGGATATGCGAAGATGTCGTCGTTTGTGGTTCAGTCATGGAGAATAAGTGAAGAGGATCTATCGTAAACTGTCTCGAGATTTTTTCATATATATATATATATATATATATATATATATAAGGATTAGGGAGAAGTTTTTAAGTTCCATCAAGGCTATCATGGAGTATCCATTGTATAGGTACGATGTATATGGCGTAAATATGAAGACGTTTTTTTGTTTTATGCTTTCCATATCTTCTTCATTGCTTTAATTTTACAAAATTTCGTCATCCCGTTTGTCGGATATTATGAAAATTTTGTTTGAACATAGCTTTAATTTCGGTAATCCGACAGAAATGATTTTCGGATTATATCGATATTTAGATTATTGTTCATTGATATTGATAGCAGAAAATGGGGTGGGGGGAAAAAAAAGCAAAACAAAAGAGTAATGAAATAACAAAATGCTGCGATGTGGAAATCATCAGCATAGTTAAATTTATATTTTTCAAAAGTTTTATAGATTTTGATGCTAAATTGTTCTTATCGGTTTCAACAAAACCGGATATAGTAAATTAAAGACGCTCATTGATCCGATAAACAATACATGAGAAGCATTTTTCTATCCTACTAAAAACCATAGTCATCAAAGCGTTTAACATTTAAATTAATAAATTCTTCCCCGATGAACATTCAAACATTTTAAACCAAACTAAATTTTATTTTTCCAATTACTTTGGACGAAAGAGAGAGAGAGAAATTTTTACAGAAGTATTATAAAATCTACAACGAAAAAACATAAGCAGCATTCAAAAATTCATACTCCACAAATTATGCCTAACAAAAAAAATTTTCAATATCAATCAAAAGTTCACTGCAAAAAACCTTTATCCTAATATTACAATGATATCTTGTGATTAAATACTGATAAAAGATTGGCAATATTGATTTCCTTCCTAATGTCCTTATTAATACATAAAAAAAGTATGCATTAAAATGATAAAGAATTCAAGATGAGTCACCGAAATCACTTCGTCTTATTCCAATTCATTTATTCAAAATAATTAATTACTGGAATTAAGGACGACTAAAGAATACATTTCATTTTTTTTTCGCTAAGATAGATTTATTTTCTTCGCAAATATCATTTAAATTCACCATACGATTGAGTTTGTTATCACTGATATGATAATACCTATATGCCAAAGTATAAGTATATCATAATTGATCTATCTGATTCCGACATGCTCTTTTTTTTTCTTATCTTTTCAATATCCGCTCATCTATATAATTTCATTTAGATTAATTGCAATTTTTGCTAAACATTTATCCACTTATTGGTCATTAGTTATCACAAACTATAAAGTAGTAATTAGTTATCACAAACTATACAGTATGATAATTTTGATAAGTTTCTTCTTTTTTTTTTGCCCTTTTCTTTTTTAAATGGATGGTAATAAATTTTTTCTTTTTTTTTGCTCAGTCATTATTGGCATAACGTACCCGTTTCATTGTATCATCTAAACCTACCAACATTTTAATTTCTTGAGTACTGTAGATATTCTCATCTGTTGCATTTGGATATTTTTCCCTGAAAAGTGCATTTCTTTTTTCTCTAAAAAATTAAAATTAAATTAGCAAAATATGAAGTTTATTTGAAATTTTTGAAAAAAAATGAGAAATGTTTTTGGTATAGTATTTATTGGAAATTATTGAAATTTTGTTTAGAATAAACAGTATTATTATTGTCGTTGAAATAATTCATCTCTGTGCTTTTTAATATTTTAAAATTTTAAATGCAAATAGATGATCAAAGAGGAAACGATAAAAATTGTAAATGGTTGGAAACTTAAGGAAATTTTTTAATTTATTCTTTACCAAATTTAAAAGAAAAATTATTCTTTAAAAATGTTTAACCTTAAATTATGTTGAACTGATTTCACATATGCTAATGGTTGTTTGTAACGATTAATTTTATTCATTGATCCTGCTGCTATCTTCTCATCTTCATACATTTTCTTCTCACGTAAAAATCTACAATTGTTACTCTATTTTAGCATTAGGTAAGTAAGTATTACCTAGGGAAAGTAATTATTTCAGGGAGATGATAGTATCATCTCACCGATTAGCGCATTAACATGAGATGATTAATAGCTAATAGTTTAATTATTTGCCAGATGATTACGATAACTACGAAATTCTTTGCTCCAGGCTCGAGTAGCGTCAATGCAAAGCATGCAAAGTTGATGTAAGGAATATCCAGGAATTCTTGATATTTTTAGTAAGCATACGAGATTGATTGCAGTATGTTTACTGGATTTCCAAAATACCGAATATTAACTATCGAAATGAAGGTGAGAGACATTATATTGTCTTGGTTACTTTCAAAACAATGTAATTAATGTTTTCAAAAGTAATACATTTCTAAAATTTATTAAAAATTTCTCAAATTTATTTCTGTAAAAATTGAAAAAAGCCTACTTTGAACGATGATAGCATAGAATTATAGCGAATACGATCAGTACAGAGAGGAGTAAAAATGTGAAAATTGTCAAGAGGAGAGCTGCTTCACGAAGACGTGCATATGGTATTGTCTCAGATAATTTAGTCACATCAATTGTATGCTAAAAAAGAAATTTTTATTAAAATTAAGAGAAATAATGATAAGAAATGTTTAAAAATTAATTTATTTTAATCGTTTTTCTAAATAAATTTCCAAGAATTCAATTTCTTTTTCCTTTTTTTCCTTTTTTTTTCAATAAGTAATTTCAAGAAATTCAAAAAAGTTTTACCTCTGAAAATGCACTTAATTTTGGTACTATGCCTTTTGGATTTAAAGAATTTTTATCAATAATTGATATGGCTTGATCAGCTAAAATAAGCGCATCATTTGTCCGATTGATGCATAAAAATTGCGCTCGTACTGCTTGTCGCAGCAAACGTCCATCAGAATTGATATATTTTACATTGAATAATAATACATCACATTCACACAATTCACCAATATTCCTAAGAAATTTTAATCATAATTAAATTAAAATTTTTATCATTTAATTTAAATTAGAATAAATTTATTATTTAAATTATAAACAAAAATATTAAACTAACTCAGTTAAATTTTCTAATCCATTAATATTCAAATTTTTAGCATTCTCATCGATATCCATTTGTACGATATGTGATGTATCATATATCCATACCGAAACATAAGCAACACTTTTTAATCTTATCAATATTTAGAAAAAAAAAAATCATTTTTGAGCAGTAACAAAAGATTTAATTTAAATCATTCAATTATTAGAGATGTGTGATTTGTATTCTGTTTATATATTTATATCTAATTAGTTTCATTTCTCCTAGCTAGGTAATATTTGATGAAAAATATAAAAAGTATTTCTGTTTGGGCGTTAATTTTTCAAAGTTAATTTTAATTAAAAAAATTTTCGATCTTAAACATAATACTTAAAAGATATCTTCCCGCTCATTGTTGCGAGAAGATTGGTTAATCATTTGCAAAAAGCAAGAATAAAATTTGAAAAAGTTTAAAAAGAAATTTTTGAAAAAAAAATTATACCTTCAATTTAGTGGTTGCAACATGAGAAATGATATCAGAAAGATCAGTACTTGCAATACTTGATTCGAATACACCACCCATTGAATCATACGGTGATTGTGCTAATCGTACAATTCCGGATTTCTCATCCACATTAATGAAACCATTTGCTTGCCTAACTCGATCCGCATATCGATAAATCGTTTCATCGATTCGATAGCGTACCAAATCAGAATCTAAAATATTATCGAAGAATCTAATATATACAAAGTTATCAGAAGATGAATGATTCATATTATAAATGAGTCACCAACAAATATTTTCTTCCATTACCGCGAAAAAAGCTATGATAGCAAAATTTTGCAAATAAAATCTTGCAAAAGTTTGAATTTTATCCTTGTAAGAATATCAAAATATTGATTAATCATTGGATATTAACTATTAAACAAATCATTCAATAATGATGTGACACTTTTGAATGACAACATTTAAAAGTGACAATATAACTTAGCCTAATTAGACATTCTTTTGAAAGATTTCAAAAGTTATCATTCATTATTATTATTACTATTTAATAAAAAATGAATAAGAGAGGATATGAATTGAGTAATGAAATCATGGTCACCTTATATAGATACACATATATCAGATATCAGATGATACGAATAATCTCACTTGGTGAAGAAGCATTGATCAAATCTGGATCCATTGCTAGAACTTCAGCAATTTTCATCCCTGTTATTGCATTACGTGGAATTGCTTTTTTATATATATTACTTTCAAATATTGGTCCATTATCATTTCTAAAATAAAAATTACACTAATTAATGTTTCAAACTTTTTTTTTTAAAAAAAAAATTCCACTTCATTTTTTTCTCATCTTATCTCATTGTTCGTCTTCAAATAATTAATTCAATTCCTGCATTTTGATCTCTTTCGAATCTAATATGTTGAATAATTGAAAAACTTACACATCTAATACCATAATTTGAACTGTAGCAAATACGACATTATCCTCAATAGCTGGTGGCTCTTCCGAATCGGTTAACATTATACGAAGCCTGAAATTGAAACACATACTCAAAGAAGATATGAATTTCGAAATTTGAAGTGCTACTTAGAGAAAATATGAGGCCTGAAATTAAAAGAGATATTCGGAGAATATATGAAGCTTGAATTATAATGATTGAACTATACTTACTCATAGAAATCTTGCTCTTCTCGATCCAATTCATTAGCTAACTTCAAAATGCCATCCGTACGACCAATTGTAAATTTTTCATTGTCACCTTTCATGTGAAAATAAACCCTATCATTGATATCTCGATCAAATGCTCGAATCTTGGTTATTAAAAGGCCTAAAATTACACGCAGACAAATTAGGTTTAAAATTTTACTACTGCTTAATCATCCTAACATAACTTTAATCTATCAGTTGATCTATAATTAGTATCAATGTTAATCAATTAATTGATAATAAAAAAAACAACATATAATAATGTATATGATGTACATGTTTATGAAGGATAACTACATCATTTTGTGTTATTTGGAATAGCAATTCAAAATTATTAAATTCTAGGACTTGCATTAATTTCATTAATCCAAACGGATACCTTATTTTTTTAGCTAAATTTAAAAATCATTTTAAATATTTTGTCCACGATAATTTATAAATTTACATATAACTGATAAATTTTCATCATTATCACACATATCATATCAAATATAATTAGATAAAAGAATGAAAGAACATACCAACATTTTCATCCTCCCGTATACTAAAGAAAACATTGCTATCAATAATTTCTATTGGATTATCATTTTGATCAACGATACGAACTTCAACGTCTAATTCCACAAATAAATCTCCGCTGAATGCAGCAATTACAAGCTGTAACAAAGATAAAAAATCAAATTTAATTGATAAATTTTTTATCATACTTGAAATATGTAAGAAGTTATCAGCGCTTATGGCTTCATAAATTAGCATAAATGAATTAAGTTGACATTAATTATAACGGATAATAATTAAATATTAGACTGACTTGATGCTAATGGTAACAATAATAAAAACAAATTCTGATAAGAGAAATGTTCTTTTTTTTTTAATAATTTTTAATATCACCAAATTTTGCTATATTTAAAGATAATTCAAATTCGATATTTTTCTACAATCCAAAACTTACACCATATCGATCATTTTCCTCGCAATCAAACATTTCTTTAGCTTTCAATTCACCTTTTAAAGCATCAATTGTAAATAATTCTGTTTCACCAACATATTTCTTTCCATTCCATATTGCATATGTTACTGGACAATCCTTACTTGATACTATACCTTCGAATTTTGCTAATATTGAACCCGGAAATTCGTTCTATAATTATTTCAACAATTAATATGCAACAATGAAAATGATCTTAATTAAAATAGATTTACATATTTGAGAATAGTATAAGTAAGAGAATTATGGTTATTGAAATCATCTGATTGATCACTTTATTCCAATGGAATCTTCATCAAAGATACGATATCGATTGTTAAATATTCCTTTTTTTTTTGCATCCTTAATTTTTATAATAATTTTAATCTTTCTGATCAGGACAGGATGACAATGACAATTAAAATTTTAGATTTCTCGTAATATTATTTTGCTATTGGTTTTATCATTCATTATATGACATCTTATTAGTTATTTAGAATTTTCAAAAATTTTATTTAATTCCTGAATAAATGAATTAATTAGTTGAAAATCATGCGAAAAAAAGAAGGAAATAATGAACGATAACAGTAAACTTACCTCATTTACATAAATGACATTTGGGACAGTTTCTGGAAAAGTTGGTTGACATTTCGAAGTTGGTAAAATAGTAAGAAAAATGGTAGCAGATGCACCAGTATGTCGATCATCTCGTGCAATAATCGCAAATTGATATCTTCCTTCTAATCCCAATAATGGTTCTACATTACGAATGCTACCATCATCATCAACATGTAATAATGATGATAAAGCTGATGATTCACTATTCATCATTAATGAATATTCCAATTTTGAATCATTATCAATTGCCTGTAAAATAATGAACATTTTAAAACGAAATTTAAATTTTATTAAAAATTCAATTTAACCGTAATTCAGTTCCAAAATTTTTATTACATTAGTAGCTGGCCAAACTAACTTTTGTTAAATAATTTAAATAATTCCGAATTCATAAGTCAATTAATTTTTGCTAATTACATACCGGAACATTTGTTATAAATGTATTTATTGGACTATTTTCCATTACTGTTGCAGAAAATGATCGTTCAGGAAATCGAGGCTCAATATCATTTTCATCTAACACATTAACCGTTATCTGATAATGATAAAATCATTATATCATATTCATATTATCATAGATTTTTACAAATGTAACGTTTAATAATTAATGAACAATCAATATTAGCTAATTTATCAATGATCTAATCATAATATTTTTGATGTAATTTTATTACCAATATTAATTTATTTAAATAATTCAAAACAATATGGTAATAAGTTAATTTATCAAAATTACAATTTTCAATTCTCAATTCCATTTTCATTCATGTATTTTTCATCTTCTTTCGATTAAATTTCTTTGTTACATTTATCACAAATCTATTGAAATCATTAAAAATGTTTTAAAAAGAAGTATATTACCTACCGGTAATAATGTAAATGGTCCATTATCATAAAAAGCATTTATGACAAAATGATGAATGGATTTGTTCTCGTAATCAAGCGGTAAAAGTATACGAATCGTACCCTACCAATTAAAAAAAAAAAAAATTAAAAAGTAATTTTTTTTTTTCAAAAATATTTCAATAATTTTTAAAATTATATTTATTACTGTATGTTAGATATTTACAACATTTTCATATCATAGTTATTTTAATTTGCTATAATATTTTTAAATTACACTTTAAAATTTGATAATGTTTAAATGTTAACAATTAACAAACAAATTGCTCATTGAGAACTTTTCTTCTTTTTTTTTTTTTTAAAAAAAGAACGACCTTTTTATCAATTTCGAAATAATTTTTTTCATTTCCAGTAATCATATATTTAATTTCGGTTGTGGTATTTGTGGATTCAATTAAAGTACCCACAATAGTTCCTGAAAATCATTACAATTTGATTTCTAATAATGTTTGCATTTTGACATTTCACTTAACGAAATTCATACAACATAATCAGTGAAAATCTCAACAAAAAATTACAATTGATAAAAAATAAATGAATAAATAACAAATGGAATTCATTTCTAAAATTTTATATTTCATATTTTATGCAAATTAAAAAAAAAAAGTCTGTTTAATTATTCACTATTAATACATATCATGATCATTTTCCTGGATTTCCCTTATCCATCTCTAGTATCTCCTATAACTAATAGTTGAAAATATTTTCTGAACCAAAAAAGATTCATACCTGAAATCTAAAAAAGTGTTTTTTTTTTTTCAAAACAAGGAAATACAATTATTACAAAGAAAAAATGATTTTTACCACGTGGGGCATTTTCGGTAACGTTGAAAATGTAGGATTCATTTGGAAATATCAGAATACGTTGCTTCATAGATGGCATAACTTTGATTAAAATTGAGGTTGAACTTGTCACCTGCGTGTTTGGATCAGTGGCGATAATAGTAAGATTATAATTAGTTCCAACATGTAATTTTGCTGCTGTTGTTATAACACCTATAATAAAATGTTTAATGAAAGTGACACCCTATTTGGGTAATTATATTAATTGATTAATTGATAATATTTGTAACAACATTGTTTAGACCTTGGAATCGTTTAAATTAGTATAGCCAAACTCTGTAATATATTCAACTAAATGTTAGCATTCATTATCAATTTTCACTTCTATAAATCAATGATGCTTTCCGGATTAATTTGATAAAATTAATTTGGTAATCAGAATTGACAATTTAGTAATTGTAAATATATAAATGAAAATGACCTGTTATTGGATTTATGACAAAAGCACGATGTCCTTTCGATAATGAATATACAACACGATGATTTCCCACTAAATTAGCCGGAAGTGGTTTGACATTTACAGTATAGATATAAGTGCCAGCATTTGTATCTTCCGGTATTTCAATAACTGATCGAGATTGATCAAATTTTACAAGATCCGCATCTGATATTTGCTCTTCCGGTACTATCAATTGGACTAATAATTCCGCTGAAATTACAAATATTTGCAGAAAATATTTATGATATACAAAAAAAAAAAAAGTTGATAAGAGTAACATTTCATTCTTATGAAGTTCAACTGATAATTCGTAAACAAATGGTTAAATGATTATTTCCTATCAATCTTATCAAATTTTTATATCTTCATAATCATTGATCATTGTTATATTCATTATTAATTCAATGTCTAATTGCCAAAAAAAGAAAAAAAAAATGTAGAATGTTTAACATTTTCTCTTTTCAAATAATCACAGAGAACAGGAATAGTTGAATGTTCTATGAATTAAACTATAAAAAAAATTAAAACCTGATTGATTGATATCATTTAAGTAAAATGAAGTATAAAATAGTAACCTTTATCATCCGGTTCATCCGGATGGCTCATATCAGAAACGCTAATGTTTGCCCAAAATGCCATAATGGAAGTGTTTTTAAAGCTTTTCGCAAGTTGTAATGTTCCATCGTTGAGACCATTTTTACGAAAACGGAAATGCTCGAACAATTGGGAAGAATCCGGAAGAACATTGCCAAGATCATTATAAGCTTTCAGTGAATTTATCGAATATACTACTTTTGCATTTGGATCAGCATCAATTGCCGTAAATTGATGAAGTATTGTTCCGGCACCATTTGCTAAAAAAAAAAAATAAGAAAGCGATTTAGTCCTTGTAACAAAAAATTTATCATCTTATTAAAATCTCATTATCTGAATTCAAGAAAAAAATTTTTAAATGCAAATTTTATCGTTACACTTACTTTCGATTTGATATGCAAAAGTTGAAAATTCTTCGTTAAATTTATTTTACAAAAAATTTCGAAGAATTAAATAATTAAAATGGAATTATTTGAATGAAAAGTTCGGTCATTCTTCGATGCTTGCTTAAGCTCTTTTGCTATTTTGGAAGCATAAATAGTTTCGGCATAATGATAAAATGGAATGATTTTACGTATAACAAAATATATTGCTTATTTAAAAACTTACTTTTGTTAATTGTAACTAAAACAGGTTCTTTAATTTTAAATTTTGCTGGTGAACTTCCTAAACCAGCAATTAATACCTGAACAAGTGCTACATCAATATATGGTGGTGAACTTTCATCAATTGCTATAACCTGAAATAATTTAAAATTTAATTATTCAAACAACAACTTTTGAAATATCCGTAATTTTTCAAAAATCTTTAGCAAAAGATGATAAACAAAGATATTACCTTTAATTCATAATTACATGGATCTTTGCTAAGTGGACCATGATAAGAAATCCTCCCATTGATTGGATTAATTCGAAATAATGTTGCACCACCTTCAGCAATATGATAAGTCACATCGCTATCTAAACTTTGCGCAAATACCTGTCCAACAAAAGATTCACCAGGTTTTGCCGCAAATGCATAAATACTCTGAAAAAGAAAAAAAAACAGAAATTTTGCGAAATTCATTAAAATATCTAAATTTATTAAATTATTTTTTTTAATTTTTTTTTCAAAATTTATTAAATTTAAGTAATTTTATTTTTCAAAACATTCCTAAAAATTTCCAAAAAAAAAAAAAAAAGGAAGAAATCGTTAAAAAAGTTCATGTTCATATTTCATTTATTTTTGGACGAAACAAAAAAACAAAAAAAAAAAAAATTTACACATGTGAAAATTTTGGTGCCATAATTTGTTGATCAATGATTGGATTGAGAGTAACCATGATAATTATCGTATCAATAACATTCTTTCCATCAGTAATTGATAAAGACATATTGAAATGTTCACCAAGATTATCTACAGTCAATAGTTCACTATTCTGAAATTCATTTTAAATTCAATTTACCTAGCAAGAAACAATATGTTTGATGATAACAATAATCATGTCGTTAGAGGATAAGTCATCAACTGCATTCTTGAAATTCTTCAAATTTAATTAAATTTAAAAATAATGAGTAAATAAAAATTGACGAATAACTAAAATTAAATAATCGAAATTGGAATATGAAAAAAAGAAAAAGAAAATGTGAACTTTTCGAAATTTGATTATTATAATCATTCATACATATGAAATCAAATATTTGTGCCATTTTTGAAATGTTAAATCTATATTTGTTTTTTTTTTATTTTCTTATACTTTAATACTGACATAAATTCAATTGAAAAAAGAAAAAAAAAATTGAAGGAAAACTTGCTCGAATTGAAAGAACACCAAATTTTTCGTTAATTTCAAAAATTCGATTATAATCATTGAGAATAAAAATGAGATTGATATCATCAGGATTGTCAACTTCTATTAGCAATGGATTATTCATCTGTGATTTTTCTTTAATATTTAATGGAATCACAGATTGTTTAAAATGTGGTCTTTGTCCATTTTCATTAGCAGTAAGTTTGATTGATACTGGTACATCATATGATTGTTTACGATTATCAATTATTGCTCGAATCATAAGCGCAAATTGTCGTGGTATTTTATGACATTCTGATGGACATTCCAAACTTATCAATTCAATGATATTATTATCTTTTGGATCCAATGAGAAACTAAAAGTAAACGAATATTTGAATATAATCAGTGATTTGATGCAATTTTTTTTTTTTGTCATTAATTTTATCAAATTTAATTACGTTTTATATTAACTTTGTATTGATAATGGAATGTGAAAGGAGGCTTGATACATTAAATTTTATTAAAGGTAATGATTTATTAAAAATGATGCCCTCTAATTAATTAAAATCTTATCTCTTACAATACTATTACTACTCTCAATGAATTCCTTTTTTTTTTTTACTTATCCATAAAAACTTACTAATTTGCCATGCTGCCATATATGGTATACTTAATATCTTTAGCTGAAATTCCACTAACCAGCTGAAAAATACTTCATTAATGATGATTGACAATTTTATCCCATACAAATTAAATTTAATATTCCATGTAAATAAATTTAAACATTTTTTAAATTAAATTAAATAAATTATTCACAAGTTAAATTAAATTAAATTAAATTTTTTTCAAAATTAAATTTGATATCACAAGACATTTTTGGTAAACTGTACGTATTCATACGTGTATTAGACGTGAAATGCGCAAATAAATGACGTATTATAGCAAATGATTGGGATAATTTTACTGCATAAAAGTTTTTTTTCTCTTTTTCAAACAATTTGCAAATATTTTCATATTTTAATAAATAAAAATAAGACAAACTTTGATGACACCAATTTTGACAGTTCGGGAATACGTTGACATCTCAAACATATATTCATCAGCTTCAAATAATCGCTTATGCATATCATTATTCACGTTGATATCTAACGTGAAAACACCTTGACGTGTAGAATTTATTGATTTTGCCTCAACCTATAAATTATTATTTATCATTTTTGCAAGATTATAATGTAACATGAATATAGTTTCCTTAAGCTTTTTTTTTTTTATGCTGAAAATTAACTAAAATACTATATTCACGCTGAATTCAAATTGTAAAGACAATAGAAAGCTTAATTATTTAATTAATTAACTCTTTTTTTTTAAATAATTTGATTTTATAAAATTAGAGCAAAAATTACTTTGGTAATTTTATCGGGAAAGAAAATTTGTTTTTTCCGAATTTCTATCACATTTAATATATAATAATATACAATGAAATGACTTTTATTGTAATCAAAATTTCATTTTCAGGAATAACAATTTCATTACTTGTTAATGTTTTCCAGAAATATTTGATAACAGGAAATTTGAGAAAAAAGTATTCTCTTTATCAGTTTCTTTTTTATCATATCATCTTTATCAGTTTTAGAAAAATAACACATTTCAATTTTTAAAATTCTTAATTTCTAGTATGATTTCCCCGTACGATGATTAGTCTAGGTATCAAGAAATACAAAAGACCGCGGTACTGCAGGAATTCATAGCATGAGTCATATAATGAAATTAATGAAATTATGCAATGATATTTTAGTACTACCTATTAAGATAATGGAATAATGCGAATTAGCAATAATTGATTTAGCATTAGTGATTGATGGAAGAAGACTGAGAAGAATCGGTTCAAGGTCATTTGATAAAAAGAGGGAAATGATGTAAAAGTTTTGAATGATAAGTTTAGTGATATTTTAAAAGCTAATTGCTGAGATGGGTTTTAAAATTGGTTTAGGTTAGCACATGAATTGATAATTTACTATTCTATTCTGAGGATATATTCCAGAAATAAGATTAAAATTTCGTTTCTTCCATATTAAAATTATTTGATTCATATCTGGATATATTATCATAATCAGCTAATCTTTATTAACAATCAGAACTGATATTGCTATGCATAATTGAGTTTAAATAATAAACGGAATTGATTTTATATTTTAATTTATTCTAACTGTATTTACAATCTCCTTCCTTGTTTTTCAATTTCAAAAAATGAATTTTAAAAATTCATTTTATTTTACGATTTTTATTAGTGAATTTTCATTCGATTGGACCAATTTCAATTTTAATTTTAATTACGCATTTTTGAATGGATTGAATAAATAAAATTAAATTTATTTTCTCATACCTGAAGTGTTATTTTATCAGCAATATTGAGAATATGTGCATCATCAAGAATGATATCAAATTGTTGACCAGTAATGATAACTTTTGGAATAATTGTAAAAGCATTCGAATATTCAGTTTGCCATAGCAATAAACGGAAATTTTCGTTGACATCCTGTAAAAATTAATCCGGAAATAATTTCATAATTATTTCAGGAAAAAAATGGAAAACTTCTTTTAATATTATTGAAAAGTTAAAATATGAAGCAGGAACAATGATAGATTATCTTGAAGTTACATACCTGTTATATTCAATAGGAAAGAGAAATGGTGACACAGTTTAATGATATCAAAAGCACTATGAAAATATTCATCAAATTACGGAAAAAAAAAAAAAAACAACTACAATGTTAGAACTTAAAAAGTGAATAGTATCATTTTGTTGAAGCTAATAAAGGCCAATTCTTATCCTTATTATAATGATAAGCCTAGGCTAAATATGCCATATATTTTGAATAATGCTTAACTTTATTATATTAATGAGCCTAGATTAAATATGCTATATACTTAAATAATATTTGTAAAGCTTTTGCTCTTTTTTCATGAGTGAAAGTTAAATCAAAGTTTAAATCTTTGTAAAATGTTGAAATTATTTATAATAAATTCTGAAGGAAGTAAAAATAGACAGAAATAATTGTCGAAAAAAATAAAACAAACTAACAGCGACAATGGAAGGTGAAGTAAACGGAAGTGCACGTTTTTTCCGGTAATTTTTTGATATCGTAATACTGGTATATGTTTCATCGAATACATTTGTTTCTATAAAAAAAAAAAACCGGATCTTCCTAATTTCGGATTCGGATTCCGAAAAAGTGACAATAACGAAAAAAAAGGAACGAAATTATGATTAATTTGAAAAATAAATAGAAAAAAAATTTATTAATTATATGTTTTAGGTTTTAATTATAGTTGACGCGTGCATTTGATATTAATGATATGTAAAATGAAATCTGTAATTGATTTCAAAAATGTTATAGTCAACTTTAAAGCTAATTAGTACTTAACAAACAGCATTAATAGTTTGATAGTATCAGAACGAAATCATTCATCAATGATAAAATATAAAAAAAAAAAATGAAAAAAAGAAAAATTAAACTGTTCTACGATAACTTATCGATGAAAAAATCATAAAATCTAATTAAATTAGAAATTAATAATCTAAATTTAATTAAAAAAAAAAAGAAAAAAGAAGAAGCATAACATACCATCGTTTGCTATTACCGTTAATAGTATTAGCGATAAAATTGCAATGAAAATTATCATTATAGTGGAACGTCTTTTCATTTGGCGTTCTTCGCTTCACCGTGAAATTAACTGATCCGGTCACCTACCCTGTCCAACCCTTCCCTGTCGTCGTTTTCCATTCATCTACCGACCATAACCCATCGCCACTTTATTATCGTTCATTTATTTAGGTCATCATCGTTGTTCTTTTTTCTTTTTTTAACAGAAAAAAAAAAAAGAATTTCATTAACAAATAAGAAAGAGAAAGAAAAAAGAAAAAATTAAATAAATAAAAAAAACAAATTTTAAATCAATATATGGTAATAGAATGTTTTCATTCATAATTATTTGATTATTCGAAAACGATCAAATCGATCAGTTTAAAGAAATTCAATCAATTGAATTAATTCCATTAATCTAAAAAATGATTCATAATGTTGTTGAATTGTTTTGATCTAACCGATCATTCAAATGGTCAGATATTTCGGGTCATTTAAATTATACAATGACCTGTAACGAAAAGTCTACAGTTTATTGAGCATTCTCTTATGGTTGAAATTTATGAAATCGATCATTTAAATACATGAAGTGCTATTCATTTAACAGGGCAATGAAATATGTTAATAATGATGTCGCCGATTTTCTTTAACCGTGACAAAGACTGAGGATTCTTTCTGACCTCTTTGGTTAAAAGCGCCTCAAACTTGGATAATTAAATCTTTATTCCTATGAGTTGATTAATACAGAAACGAATTCAACAATTCAATGACAATATTAAAAAGAACAAAAGAGGAAAAAACCATAGACCAAATGATGCCCAAACTATCGTTCCATCTAATCAACCTGTTGAAACGTGTCTTTTGAAATGATTTGGCCTTCAGGGCCTTCTTCTTCCTGGAGTAGAAGTAGATCCTGGCAAAACTCTGAGATTAGATCTATGATTATAATTAGCGCTCTTTAATAGAGCATATAGGCGCAATGGATGCACAAATATTAGCTTA